GGGAGAGGATGAGGGAGTGAGGTGTGTGGTGTGAGGAGCTCTGGCCTGTGGGGTTTTATATGCCTCTCTGGCTTGTGTTGATCCTCAGGAGGCTGAGCAAGCCTTCCCTTTCCTTGTTGATGTTTAGCGTGCGGAGTTGGAGAACCTCGTTCATGCAGTTTCTTTTCTACAATTAGGTGTTCACTCAGGAAACTGGTTAGCATGTCTCAGAACTTTGTTCTCCTGGTCTGTTTTCTGTTTGGCCCCAGGAAGTTTGTGAGGAAATATTTGTTCCATGCAAGCTTTTGATGTGTTTTTGAGGGGGACATGGTTCCAAAAAAAATGCTTACATTGTGCACTTCCTATTCCTTTTAAACAAAGAAAAAGAACATAGTTTATGGAATACAACTTGTTCAGGACAGGTGATCCTAGAATAGGGAGCCAATGGTCTCTCCCCTTCAGATCACTTCTGCTTTTTTCAGGAGCATGTGCGGAGACTCCAAACCCAGGGTGTTATCCCTTGTTTCGCTTGTGTTTCTTCAGTGTTTGCAGCAAACGCTCAGGTGCCTCCTTCCTTACGTCTCAACCCAGGCTCTGGATTCGCCCTTTTCTTTTTGCCACAATAAAAGATGAAGTCGTTTATCATCCATCGTGCTAACCTTTCATTTTAAGATTCTTAAAATGTGTCATGGATACGTTGTAATAGTTTGGTTGAGTATAGAACCCTAGTTTTTATCCACTGTTTTCTCCTAGCTAGGAAAACTGTTTCCACTTGTAATGATCCATTTTTCTGAAGAAAGACTGATGATCACGACTTGTCATTTCTTTGTAGTTTGCCTGTCTCTCTCTTTGGTGACCTTCTTGATTTTCATCTATTCATGTTCTGAAATGTCATAAGAAGTTCTTTGAGGACTGTGTCATATTTTCCTTCCTACGTTTGAAACACAACGAGTCCTTCAATGTGAAAGGTTATCTCAGGGAAATGGAGAGTGGATCTCCATCTGTGGCAGTAGTGACATCATCTCCTGTCAGCTTGAGTGAGGGGGTGGTGTCTAGCCTTCATTCAGTTCATTGCCAGTGATGCCTCTGGGTGGGCATGGCCTTCTCTTGCGGATCCTGGGAACTCCTGTCTTCCTTTCTTCATGGTTCCAGATTTTTTGCAGCTACTGACAAAGACTACTGGTTCCTTATTATTCCAAAACACTGGGTGGGGCATATAGTTTCAAAGTGTTTTTACAGATATGGCCTAAACCCATTTAAAGATCCAATTTTAATGACTGAAACAATTGGTCTTACAAACTTTCTATTTTCCTACTTCCCATATTTTCCCCCGAAAAGCAACCAAGTAAATAGTGTGGCTTTATCTGACCTCTGGCTAGACAAAGATGGGAAACTTCCAGGAGGGAGAGGTCAAACAAACATCTTTTGTCTATCTTATGATTTATTTTTCCAGTACCCCACTCCCAAGGTACCATAATGTATTAATCTAGGTACTTTAGAGAAACAAATCCACAGCAACTCATGTATAAGAGAGTTTATTTAAAGAAAGTGTGCATCACGAAAACATCCCAACCCATTGCTGCCCAAGCCCACAAGTCCAACATTAACCCATTAACCCAACACCAGTCCACAAAGTCCTCCACCTCATAAAACAGAGG